GGTTTCTTAAAATTGAAATATTGGATCGAATTATAGCCATTGTGAATGTTACAGAATCATCTTTACACAGATACCTGAATATAAAATTTTAAAATGTACAGTATTTTTATACATTTCAAGTTCTGTCCAATTTGTGTATCAAGTTCCATTTTTTTCGAAAAATATCGATGATAGGCAGAGCTGTCAGACTATTTTATACATCTAGGTAGTACCTAGGAAATCAAACATTGTGATAAAGTCAGGTAAAGAGAGGCAATTTGAAAGAAATCATTGAATAGAGAATAATTTTCAAAATGTATATTTTCCGTGTGTAAAAGGACAACGTTCACCTCCATGCCATATAAATTTTCAATAGGAAACAAAGCCAATACTAACAAATTAATAGAATATTAATCCAACTCACATTCGATGTTACTATGATAATAGCAAAAATTAAACGCATATCCCTGGAAAAATACAAATAGTTAAAAAAAAAAAAAAAACCCTGATGTCCAGGATTGCAATTGATGTCATTTTCTGATATCTTTAATTCATGGTTAAAATAGATATCGTTTTTCGTGAACAATTAGTCGGCATTAAAATTATTTAGTGTCAAAAAGTCATGATTCTTATGAAAAATACCAAAAGCTAAAAAAAGCATACGGATAAACAAATCTTTGAATCAATGACATGAGAAAGAGAAAACAGAAAAGGAGTGAAAATCACCTTTCAATTTCAGAATAACGTATCAGAAGAGCAAAAAACATGATGTAACTATTATACATCTGTTGCATCCCTCTACGTCGCATTGATATGCTAACGGCATAACTTGATTAAAGCATAGGAGGATTTTATGTTTGACTATGCGACTTTCAGATTGCCTGATAAGTCTCTTTTTTATTTGCTGTTGTGAAATGTGTTTACCGTTAAAAAAAAAAACAAGAAAATACCAAAATGGCAACATAATCATAATTCAAACTCAAATTCAATCAAACTCGGGCAAAATATTAACAAAAAACGTTTTACACATAGATTCCTGAAATGTTCAGGAAGAGTAAGCGTCTGTAACAAGGCCTTCAGTTCAGAATGTAATTATGCATGTATATAAGTTTAAGGGACTCTGGGAGTGACATTGTGGTTTTGAAGAGATCATTAGCGTCTGATGAGCAAATGACTGGAAACATGAGGTCGTGTACAACGGTCGATGGTAGAACTTTGCGTTTACCTACAGCTTTTGTCATTGTGGATACTCCATATTATGCTGGACATGTGGAGGCGACATTGATGGACACGCCAGTGTATGACCTTATCACTGGGATTATTGACGGTGTAAGACCTCCGGATAATCCAGATGGGGAATGGAAGTGTGCTGGGGTGAGCAATGCAGTAGAAACTAGAGCTCAGAAGCAATTGCATCAACGACCATATCGGCAACTAAAAGTTCCTAAAGCGCTGGAAGATGCTCAGCCATCAGGTTTGATAGACGCACAACAAAGTGATATGGATTTATCCAGTATCAGAGAGATGGTCAAACAAGGCGACGTAAAGGAGAGACGAGATGGTGGGAGATCAAGTTTCTATACATACCGTGGTTTGATCTATCGTGAATATCAGAGCCCAGGAGTAGAGAATGGAAGGACGTTCAAGCAATTGATAGTGCCAAAGAAGTATCGAGAAACAGTCCTTTGTTTAGCACATGATTCGATGATGTCGGGTCATCTTGGGGCCCGGTGTCAACGCAGACGTCACAAGGTATTGCAGGTCCTGCGATGCGTGCCAACGAACATTTCCGAAGGGTCATGTTGCGAAAGTACCTCTTGGAACAACGGCATTGATAGATATGCCATTTCAGAGAGTTGCAATTGATATTGTAGGACCTCTCCAGCCACCTACGGATCGTGGAAATCGATATATCCTAACCATCGTCGATTATGCCACTAGATATCCAGAGGCTATTGCGCTCAGAGGAATAGAAACGGAACGCGTTGCGGAAGCTCTTGTTGACGTCTATAGTATAGTTGGTATTCCTAGAGAAGTATTGACTGACCAGGGCAGTCAATTTACTTCAGATGTGATGAGAGAAGTAAGTCGGCTCCTCTCGATACGCCAGCTCACGACCACACCTTACCATCCCATGTGCAATGGTCTTGTGGAAAAGTTCAATGGGACACTAAAACAGATGCTCAAACGGATGTGTACAGAACGACCGAAAGATTGGGATAAATACATAAACGCCCTGTTGTTCGCATATCGTGAGGTTCGTCAAGAGAGTTTAGGTTTTTCCCCTTTTGAGCTCCTATATGGAAGAACAGTTCGTAGTCCAATGAGGATCCTCGGGGAGCTGTGAACAAAAAATGTTCAGGATCCAGAGGTCAAGACGACGTATCAGTACGTGATCGATCTCAAAGAACGGATGGAGGAAACATGCAAGCTTGCTCAGGAGCAATTGAAATCGGCGAAACGCCGACAAGCCAAGTACTACAATAAGAAGGCTCGTAACCGTGTCATGTAAGCGGGACAGAAAGTTCTTGTTTTACTGCCAACGAAAAGGAATAAATTGCTCATGCAATGGCGCGGACCTTACAACATCGAGGAGAGAAAAGGATCGGTGGATTATGTCGTCAACATCGATGGGAAAAGCAAAACACTTCATGCCAATCTTCTTAGACGATATGTGGAGCGTGAAAGCACCTCAAGTGCACTTATGGAGACAGAAGCTGGAGTCCTATCAATTGTTTGCGCGACTGTCGTAGATGAAGAGGCAGAAAGGGACTTTTAAGGTGACATGTGTACCTCGAGGATTGAAACAGTTCCGAACATGGTTAGAACTGAGTCTGTCCGTGATGTGGCCGTTTCCGAAATGCTCGACGAAAATCAGGAACAGGAAATCAACGACTTACTGAAGGGGTTCAGTGATGTCCTAACAGATTTACCAGGGAAAACTAACCTCGTAGAGCATGTCATTAAAACGACAACAGTGAGGGCAAAGTCTTACCCCATTCCATTCCAAATAAAGGAAACCATCAAAGATGAAATGGAGAAGATGTTGAAGATGGGTGTCATAGAACCCTCTGATTCACCCTACTCTGCCCCTGTCGTCATCGTAAGGAAGAAAGACGGTAGCAACAGATTCTGCATCGACTATCGGCAAATCAACCGGATAACTGTATTTGATTCGGAACCGATGCCTAATATTGATGATATCTTTTCTAGACTTGCTGGACATCAGCTGTTCTCCCGACTTGACCTCAGCAAAGGGTATTGGCAGGTGCCGATGGAAGCGTCGTCAAAACGAAAGACAGTCTGCCTTTACAACTCCTGTCGGGTTATTCCTGTTCACAGTGATGCCCTTTGGTCTGGTCAACGCCCCTGCCACATTTTGTCGATTGATGAGAATACTTCTCAAGGGCATGTCAAACATAGAAAGTTTCCTCGACGACATATTGATATATACGCACACATGGGAGCAGCATGTCGTGGTTCTTCGAGATCTCTCCGAGAGGCTTAGGAAGTCGGGAATCTCGGCAAGACCAACCAAATGTGCACTTGGATACAGAAGTCTGGAGTGTTTGGGTCATATGGTGGGAAATCAACGATTACTTCCGAACCCAGACAAGGTAAACGCCATTATTGACGCTAAACGTCCAGAGACCAAAACTCAGATGAGGTCTTTTCTTGGACTGGCAGGATTTTACCGGAAGTTCATCGCCAACTTCGCGGCAATATCAGTTCCTCTTCCTGATTTGACAAAGAAGGGTCAGCCGAACAAGTTAGTCTGGAGGGAGCCGCAGGAAATTGCGTTCAACACATTGAAAAAGGCGTTGTCTAGCGAACCAATTTTGAAACTTCCTGATCTTGAGGCTGAATTTACACTCCGAACGGACGCGTCAAACTATGGTTTGGGTGCTGTATTGCTCCAGAAAGAAAATGAAATTTCATTTCCCATCGCGTACGCCAGTCGGAAACTGAAACGTGCGGAACAAGCGTATGCTGTCGTAGAAAAGGAATGCCTCGCTGTAGTTTGGGGAATCGGAAAGTTCGAGCGGTATCTCTACGGAAGACCATTTGTACTTGAGATGGATCATCAACCTCTTGTCTATTTGAACAAGATGAAGGGAACAAGCTCCCGATTGATGAGATGGACACTCCTCCTCCAGCCATTCAGATTTACAATCCGAGCTATACCGGGAAAGGATAATGTTGGTGCTGACTGTCTAAGTCGACTTTGAATTATAGTCAGATATTCCAACATGAAAAGCTGTGGATCCAGTACTGAAGACCTTGCCTAGTTTAAAAAATGGGTTATAGAAAAACATTCTTTATTTTTCTTTTGTGGGGGCGTATGTAACAAGGCCTTCAGTTCAGAATGTAATTATGCATGTATATAAGTTTTTAAGTTTACCGCCTTTCGTTAACTTCAAATAACGCACCTGCGTGCGTGATCAGCCGAGATTTAACCAGAGGCGGACATATTTGACAATAGCGGGTGCATGTTTTCTTACAAGAACGCAAAAGACTGCTTGCGGTGAGTTTCTACTTATAAATAAGATATTTTATGTTGTACCGTTCTTTATTGTAACCGTAACTAAGCTGCACACACTGTAAATATCAAATTGTACCTTGTAATGCGTCCTATATGAGGCGTACAGGTGTGTTATTGTTTACGTACAGGTGTGACATTGTTTACGTTCAGGTGTGCTACTGTTTAAAACTGTTGATAAATAGTTATTTGATAACCAATTTATTATAATAAGTAATCTGGATTTAGCACATCGTAGATTAGGGAATTTAGAGCATTCGTTTGTGAAATTCACGTGTATATATATTTCACCCCGCTGGAAGGTTTAAATATTAAGGTTGCTTGACCGGTGTTTTTGTGGAAATATTTTCAAAGTTTAATTTCAATTATTATTACATTCTTGGGTTGAAACAGTGTCTTCTTAATATTATTCATAAGGAAATGTGCTAAATTTAGGCATTTTAAGTGATTTGGGTACAATTTTGTCTGTTGTAGTTTGAACTTAGCACATACCCGACCGTTCGTAAATTCCCCTCTCATCACTACTTTGGTGGTTATGCTCATGAACCCCACTGTTGGGAGCTGCATTATTCTTTGTGGATGTAGTTTCACTGCTATTGGTGGATCGTGGAACTGATGACGTCATTATGTGACATTGTAACTTTTCCTTTGTGGAAGTGTCTATGCTTTGGATCCTCTGTGGATGAACTGAAACTCATGAGTGTGTGGACCTGTGTGGATACATAGGTGGACTGTACCTGTGGGACTGTCGGAACTAAGACAGAGTCGGGAAGGTCCAAACGAAATGTTGTAGATATAGTGTATAGTCTAGTGTAGATACTTGTAAAAATTGTGGTATTATGTGCATAATGTAAATATATATTGTACAAAGTGTATATCCGTGTTCGTCTCTTTTCTTGTTTGTATGGCAATATACTCGTCCCGTTACAGCGTCTTCTGCTTCATCGATGACACCCGCCATGCAAACCTTGGTAAATTCAAGTAACTAATGTCAGGTTCGCAAAATGAGAACATGGTATTCAACAAAGCAACCAATATGCAAACAAAATGGTAAAAAATAACTCACCCAGCATGGTCTCATATCGTAATATATGAAGGAAATCTTATGCAGTTTAGGTATATAAAGGGTTTGTAAACACTTTGTACGATAGGGTCAAAATCAGATAAGGAAGTACCTTCATAACAGTTAATTGAACAAATTACATGAGATAGAGAGGTGCTGACCTCATTTAGCAATAATTTAAATTTTATCCATTGAATTTTTGTCTTTTTCAATCTTTTCACTGAAAAGGTTTTGGAAATTTAGCGCAATGATAGATATGGGCATCTAAAATAATTACTATGTAAGCATCACACAGAAATTAAAATTATCTCAATCATATGTCAGCGCAGTACTTTCACCGTGAAGAGTTGTAAAATCAGATCACCGCTAGAATATTATATTTTGTGATATTGTCCATGTAGGAACAAGGATACAAGCATGGTAAAATTCTGGTGTCTCGGTAAAACGAGATAACATTGTGACCTGCAGTCTGTGTTCTTGTGTACAATTGCGTAGAGTTTACTCATCATCTGAAAATTAGCCAAAATGTGATTGATTTTCATGAAAACATACGATACAAGTTATCTCAATACATATTACCATATCGAAATTTTATTTTATTGTCTTCGTCAAATTATCACGAGACAGCAGTTTTTTTATTTTTCAAAAATAAGTCAACAACAGACATCATAGTTTCAAATGTGCAGCGACTGCGATATTATTGCAAAGCTGTTCGCCTTTAGGAATTTCAGTTCAGAATAGAAACTCGTTTCAACACTAAGTCATCATTGATTTGTTCTTTTTCTTTATAAAATTTATATCTAAAATATAATTTGACTCCAAGAAAAGTCAACGACATACTGCAAACTCATAAAGCTATCACTTTAGTCATCAACTTGTGTTTGTACAGAAAATTGAAATGCGCTAATATACATACCTGTCGGAAAAGGATAAAAACAGTAAGTCCATGGAGACTTATAGTCAGAACTGCAAACCCAAAGGAAGAAAGAGCCAACATATTTAGTGTGAAGGCTGTTCCAGCCAGTGTTGTTCCCAGCAGGTAAAATGATGAAAATAATGCAATAATGCCGCTCAAAAGAAGAAAGTGAAAACAAAGTGCTTTTCGACCGAAAGTAAACAGACCATAGCGTTTGAAGAGGGTATGGTCGTTGGCACATAATATCAGTGACCGGTAGAGTTCAGCGGATTTCTGTAACAAAATGAATTTCATAAATGTACTGTGTCAAATGATCGAAACCAAAAGAAAGAAACATTTGCAATACAGTATGACTAAATAATGATAGAGACGACATTGTAACTTCCAGGAGTCTAGGAGTCGGGAAATCAAAATTAGACGAAACAATATCAAAAACCAGATAGGGAGATGCACGTACCCACAAACTCAGTAGTTTCAGTAATTTAATCAAAAATGACTTTCTTTTGTTAAAATAAACTTGGTCGCACTCCTTGAAGTGTTTCATTTTGAAGTATGTCATACCCCTAACTGAATGATGAGTCGATAGGGAGAGGGTTTTCATATGCTTTCCAATAAGATCTTTGCAAAATGAAAAACGATTAGCCGGATTAAACTGGGGTACCCCGTACTCAAACAATACGTAAGTTTTGCCACCTAAAACAGCATTTGCACGTGTATTACAAAAAAAGGCAAAAAAATTGACAAAAAGTGAAAGACGGTCAGCTTTAGGAAGGTTCTAAGTGCTATGCATCAATAATTTTCGACAGGAAGTAATAGAAACGTTACAATGGCATACCATGTCATCAGACATGGACCAAATTGAGTATGTGTAGTATAGAATGATCCCGTGGCATACCACGTCATCATACATGGACCAAATTTAGTATGTGTGGAATAGAACGCTCCCAAGCCATACCAAGTCTTCATACATGGACCAAATTTAGTATGTGTGGAATAGAACGCTCCCAAGCCATACTATGTCATCAGACATGAACCAAATGGAATATGTGTGGAATAGAACGCTCCCATGGCATACCACGTCATCAGACATGAACCAAATTGAGAATGTGTGGTATAGAATGATCCCGTGTCATACCACGTCATCAGACATGGACCAAATTGAATATGTGTGGAATAGAAGGCTCCAATGGCAAACCATGTCATCAGACATGAACCGAATTGAGTATGTGTGGTATAGAACGCTACCAAGCCATACTATGTCATCAGACATAAACCAAATTGAGCTTATGTGGGATAGAAAGCTCCCAACCCATACTATGTCATCTGAAAGGAACCCAATGCAGTATGTGTGGGTTGGAATGATCCCGTGGGATACCACGTCATCAGACATGGACCAAATTGAATATGTGCGGAATAGAACGCTACCAAGCCATACTATGTCATCAGACATAAACCAAATTGAGCATGTGTGGGATAGAACGCTCCCAAGCTATACTATGTCATCAGACATGAACCAAATTGAGTATGTGTGGGATAGAATGATCCCGTTGCATACCATACATCAGACATAAACCAAATTGAGCATGTGTGGGATAGAACGCTCCCAAGCTATACTATGTCATTAGACATGAACCAAATTGAGAATGTGTGGAATAGAACGCTCCCATAGCATACCACGTCATCAGACATGGACCAAATTGAATATGTGTGGAATAGAACGCTCCAATGGCAAACCATGTCATCAGACATGAACCAAATTGAGAATGTGTGGTATAGAACTCTCGCAAGCCATACTATGTCATCAAACATGAACCAAATTGAGAATGTGTGGAATAGAACGCTCCCATGGCATACCACGTCATCAGACATGAACCGAATTGAGTATGTGTGGTATAGAACGCTACCAAGCCATACTATGTCATCAGACATAAACCAAATTGAGCTTATGTGGGATAGAACGCTCCCAACCCATACTATGTCATCTGAAATGAACCCAATGCAGTATGTGTGGGTTGGAATGATCCCGTGGGATACCACGTCATCAGACATGGACCAAATTGAATATGTGCGGAATAGAACGCTCCCAAGCCATACTATGTCATCAGACATAAACCAAATTGAGCATGTGTGGGATAGAACGCTCCCAAGCTATACTATGTCATCAGACATGGACCAAATTGAGTATGTGTAGTATAGAATGATCCCGTTGCATACCACGTCATCAGACATGGACCAAATTGAATATGTGCGGAATAGAACGCTCCCAAGCCATACTATGTCATCAAACATGAACCAAATTGAGTATGTGTGGGATAGAACGCTCCCATGGCATACCACGTCATCAGACATGAACCAAATTGAGAATGTGTGGTATAGAATGATCCCGTGGCATACCACGTCATCAGACATGAACCAAATTGAATATGTGTGGAATAGAACGCTACCAAGGTATACCACGTCATCAGACATAAACCAAATTGAGAATGTGTGTTATAGAATGATCCCGTGTCATACCACGTCATCAGACATGGACCAAATTGAATATGTGTGGAATAGAAGGCTCCAATGGCAAACCATGTCATCAGACATGAACCGAATTGAGTATATGTGGTATAGAACGCTACCAAGCCATACTATGTCATCTGAAATGAACCCAATGCAGTATGTGTGGGTTGGAATGATCCCGTGGGATACCACGTCATCAGACATGGACCAAATTGAATATGTGTGGAATAGAACGCTCCCAAGCCATACTATGTCATCAAACATCAACCAAATTGAGCATGTGTGGGATAGAATGATCCAGTGGCATACCACGTCATCAGACATGGACCAAATTGAGTATGTGTGGAATAGAACGCTTCCAAGCCATACTATGTCATTAAACATGAACCAAATTGAGCATGTGTGGGATAGAACGCTCCCATGACAGTTGGCAAAAGAATCGTACCAGGTAGTATGGCGGTTATGCCTGATATTTACATTTTTAATACCCCATATATTTCGTTGGTTAGTTAAACCTCTTGATCAAGTAATATGTTTTGGTGATTTGATGACGTATCTTTCACAAGAGACACCTTAAGTCAAACTTTTTTCTGTACTTTGCGAAAGTCTTTTCGAACACGTCTTCTTAAAATGATACAACACTTAAGGTTCTGTAAAATTCTTTTCCCATAGACTATGTATAGTTCGTTAGACGACCTAAAATTCAAAAATAGCCCATTGAGTTGTTATTGATTTTTTTCACAGTGGTCCCTTAATAATGATTTTCAAAACACGACAAAGAAGTAAATGACACCTTTCAACACAAATATAAGAATATTAATACTATATAGCGAAATAATGGAATAAATAGCCCCTTGCAACTGATTCGCCCTTCTTTGACTTGTCCATGATGCCTAAATTTTTTATATAAGAGACAGCAGAGGAAATAAAAAAAATATCGAACAAAAACTATATTGTACGTTAATGTATTCAGTCTTATTGTTGGTATGTGTGGGAGAGAACTTAGATTGGCCCTTCCTGATGTCCAATTCCTTTGTCATTTATGTATCTATATGTCAATAAAACTCTTTGAAAATGAAATTGAAATGGGAAGGTGCATTTATCACTGAAATGTCAATTTCAATAAATTTCATTTTTTAATCATATAATTTTTAAATGGTATTATTCACTTATAGGTCTTAATTATAATATTTATCAACTTATAATTTTAAGAAATAACATTACTAGTTGATAAAATATCAAAAGCAATTCAAATACAAACCCGAATAGACGATGGCTCTATTAAATCCCTTTCTGATTCAAATAAATCGTCAAACTGAGAGCTTGAACTACAGCAAAGTTTTTGTGATGCTTCATATGGTTTCTTCCGTAGTATCTCCTGACCGTTTCGTCCAATTTGGCGGATATTCGTAACTGAAACAACAACAGACTACAGCCTGTCAAGAAAATTCCGACACACATGTTGATACATTCTTCTTGTTACGAAAACTCATAACCAGATAGCAATAGGAACATTGAAAATAAGACATGGTTTTCTAAAAAGGTAAATTATTACACTTTATCGACAGCGCCCACTCTGTACGTCTTGGTCTTGGTCAATCAAAGAATGTTATATTACACTTCCGAATAAGAACAATGTTAGCATCAAAGAAACCAGGAGACTTAACAAGCATATTAAATGGAAACAACAAACAATATTTGCCTTATATATCAGGGTGAATTGATTAAAAAATATTCACCAACATACATGGTTCAGCAACTCGCCCAGCCCCCATAAGACACTGTTAGTCTTAAATCATACATTTTGAAATCCAATTAAGCCAGTATTGCTCTTACCTGGTAATAAACAAAATTGTAATGCTGAGTTTTGATACAATAGCATTGTTCGTCCTTGGATAATAGGAAGGTTAAATTTCCTCGATTACAAAACAAGCCTTACTCTTTGAAAGTGGGAAATTGATTTATAAGATATCAATTTTTCATTATCATAATTTATACTTAAGTTGATCTACATATCAAAATCAATTGTGGAACTTAAAAATTCCCAAAGCCATTTTTATTACGTGTACATGAACTACAAGGATCCCTTTTAAATGGCAATATGGTGATATGTTATTTTCACTAGATCTGTTGTAAAAAGGTATCAACTCTTTTCTAAATTGCAATGCGCTGTTACTTACCTTTCGACCACTCGCTAATTACAGGACGGTGAAGAACGCCCGAATTTTTTTGTTGTTACTACATCATAGTTTAGTTTCATCAACATATCACTCATTACCATAAACACCATGTCATGTCTTCCTATTCAATTTTCCAAAACTTCTGATCAGTTTATATCTAACATTACAGTGCTGTTGTGATACTTGTCGACATTATTTGTGAATGTTTGTATCAAATTTTAATACAATACATGGAAAACTAACAAAAGCCTAGAAAGGTCAACATTTCAAAGGGAAAAAATATTAAATCGCGTTATTACACGAACAAAGTCGTAATAACGCCTTTCGAAAGTCGTTATTACGCTAATAAATTCGTAATAACGCTTTTAAAAGTCGTAATAACGCCGTTTTAAAAATCTTAAGTAACCCTAGAAAATACGCAACAATGTATCAAATAAATTATATCAAAATTAATTTTAAGAAATAATAAGAATAGCCACGACAGAAATCCATACTCATTTCACCGTCGTTACATGGATAATTGATCCCACAAGAGATTCAACTAGATAAGGTGATGTTTAAATGTATTACCATGATTATTGAATGCCTCGTCCACTTTACGTCCAACTTCATCTATGTCCATATCAACACCATTGATATAGGTCATGTATCCCAGTTTCCGTGGCATTTTAGACTCGTCCAATCGCACTACTATCATGAAATCTTTTCGACGATTGTCGGCGGCGTATAAGTGTGCGATTTCTACTTCCCAATCACAATAGGAACTTTGTAAAAAGTGCTGTGATACCAAGAGAAGTAGTTTGTGGCTTTTCTCTATGAACACTTCGATATTCCGCATAATAGGCACTCCGGCAATAAAACCCTGGTCAGCCACCATACATCTGAAACATAAAGTAGGACACAGGAAATAGAATGGACAGTAAATGCCATTATTTACACCAGATCTGAATACCCTATCTTGCACATATCGTACGAGTTCAATACATAGTCCAACTTCCACTTTAGTTCGTGACATATACAATATAATTATCAACTTTGCTTCAAAACTTGCCCTTTCCAAATATATATGCATAAAGCTCCTCTTGCTCAAAACAATATAGGCCACCTTAATATTTGTTCTCATTTAAGGTCGTTGAATTAGTTTCTTGGATTTACCAAGAGCACAAGACGCTCACTCATCTGGAACACCTGGTCTTTTTCTCATTTTTAGGAATCTTCGTGTCATTACGAAGGAATTACTTCAAGCTTTTATATGAGGTGATGCTTTAGAGGTTTAGAGTTGTCAAATATACACGAGCCGAATCGAAGAGATCAAAATTCCCTATCACACCATACATGGCACAGAAAGGTATTATAAAGGCATATGTGAAGGGGATCACAAACCATTTAACATATAAACGAACTCATAAAACTCATATACAATACGAAGTATTTTGTTTTTCCCGGCCAGACTTCACACTAAACATTCGAACTTAAGTCGAATACTCGAATAAGTTTTCTCACACATTTGACACATACCTTTTATAGTCTAGAAAACCAGCAAAAATTATCAATTGAATTCGACATTGCGAATTAACATGTATGTAACTTTACATCTCTCACAGTCGGTCAATACTCTAACTTAATCACTATGACCTTAAAATGATATAAATACTTCAAACCACGTCCTTCCAAAGCGTTTTTGAGGCTCAGTGCGTAAGGTTTATCCTCATTTGAGAAGGATATAAATAAATGGTACTCTTTCCCGGATGGCAAAGCTCTCTCTTGTACCATGGCTACTCTTTGTTCACACTCATTTATGTCATCAATGAATGGCACAATGTCTTCTACACAACTTTCGTTGGCTAATAATGGAAGCATCTCATTATCAACCATTGTTCTGCAACAGAAAAAAGGTTTGAATTAATCACCTGTGTTACGCCTCCACGACAATTTATAACTTCAACTCCGAATAACCTTGCTATTCTTTATTGCCATTGATAGCCGTAAACAACTACAAAACAGAAATAACAAATAATCACACATTAGAATTTACTTATCTGACATTTCGACACACAGACAGAACCACGCGTTATGTTACACTACAATTTTCAGCAAGCAAATTATCAAACACACAAACCTACACTGTCGTGGTATTCTGGATTGTTTATAGAGCATCCCAGACTTGGCATGCATACATTGTAGCTGGCAGACGACAACACATGTCTGCAAAACGTTATCAAAACGAAACCACTTCCGGTGGGTAAAACTAATGTCCGGACCAAAATACTGAACAAGAATCCCGGATTTAAGCGACTCTGGCGGCGTAACAACCTGTATCCTGATATTGATAAATATGCCGATAACAAAGACCTTGTCAATCGAATCTTTAATTGTATATTCATTCATAAGAACTTCTTTTAATAGGTTATTCAGTCGGAGTCGACACACAGCATATGTTATACACATGAGTGAATCATTTGTGCAAACATTATACATACCCCTACCTACACTGAGCAGCTCGCCTAAACCCTGTCTGTCTAGATTTACAACAACAATGGCGGAATCAAAGCGTCTGCTGCAAATCGTAATAGTTATTGCTATACATCAGGTAGGTACAAGATAATTGTTGTCCCGTTTTTAATTACTGATTAGAATTTGATCCCATTTTCCACATTTAGGATGTTATTAAGTTAATTACAATGATGGCTGTTACCAGAGACGTATATATCACACGTCTCTGCTGTTACTAATTTACCTGTTTTATGAAGTGTCAATCCTAATTTCGATTTGCATTGCCTCGGTGTTTTTCCAGGTATAGTGTAAAATAAAACCGCCCTTCACTGTCAGGTGACAGGCGCATGTATACAAATACAGCACTGTTGCCACGGTCCATGATCAAGATATCTAAAAATACTTCTATCGATATTTTAGTTCCTTTGGTAGAGTGTAAACGTGGTGCAATAAACAGCAATACATGTTCCGGGTTTCTATTGCTCTGTGTGGTATTACCACATTTATCAAATCATTTGTGATGATAAAATAGTTGGTGCTTGAATTAACTCTTCATTTTGTTCATCAGATTTTGAATAATTAAGTGTAACGGCGTAGTGTGCACATAGTGTTATATTCGGCCCCTGTCATTCAGCCGACGGGACGGTGTGGTTTCAACATAGTGTTATATTGGCCCCTGTCACCCATGTAGTCGGGACGGCGTGGTTTCAACATAGTGTTATATTCGGTCCCTGTCACTCAGCCGACGGGACGGTGTGGTTTCAACATAGTGTTATATTCGGCCCCTGTTACCCAGTCGTCGGGACGGTGTGGTTTCAACATAGTGTTATATTCGGTCCCTGTCACTCAGCCGACGGGACGGTGTGGTTTCAACATAGTGTTATATTCGGCCCCTGTCACCCAGTCGTCGGAACGGTGTGGTTTCAACATAGTGTTATATTCGGTCCCTGTCACTCAGCCGACGGGACGGTGTGGTTTCAACATAGTGTTATATTCGGCCCCTGTTACCCAGTCGTCGGGTCTTGGTGGTTTGTACATAATGTTAGTTTTGGTTTCTGTCACTCTGTTGAGAAGCATGCTCGTTGGCGCAGGTGGTAAAGCCTACGATTATCACGACAGAGATCCGAGCTCGATCCCTCGTCTGAATACACAGCAGGAATGTGTAATTACCTGTTCTTTCAAACAGTATTATTTATTTTATGAACAGTTATCCTGAAACTACAGTTATGCCCTTTTTTGAAAACGTGTTTTAATCTTACTGTCAAAAGTTTAACCTTATTTCCCCGAAAATTCTCTTGTGAAAGCGAAAGTATTTTTCCAAGAAATCCATACCTACTTTTTCTTATGTTCAGTGCCAGTGCAGATATGCACAGGTTAATTGAATAAAAAGAAGTAGATATCACAGGGCCCGAATTGGAACCGTGCCAAGTTTGGTGCTTTTATTGCTTCTTGATAGCTGAATAATAAACAACTATTTTGTACAAGAGTTTGTCAACCGGAGAAAGATGATATTACCAGGATCAGCAGGTCGAGGTGAAGATTACTTTTTGTAAAGTCGACAAACTAACACAAACAATAAATAACTATTTTGTTGTATGACACGGTCTAAAAATAAATTTATTGCTAGTTTAGGTTATCAATTTGCGATAACAGCCCTCGTCAAGGAAATTTCCTCTTACTATTTTAGTTTAGTTTAATCCGTTTGCATGGATAACCAATCCTATATCATCGTAACTGTACAGGTAGTATGAAATATATTATTTTAAACAGTTCGGGTTAATTCAATGGTTTTGTAATGGTTATTTTGTCTATGGTAACATTCAAGTGTAATGTTGATTTACGTCTAAACAACCGAAAAAACCAAACCAATCGGATGACATTTTTTTTTTATTTTGGCATCTTGATAAATAGATAAACTAAGGAAAAAAATTGAATAAATACGTTGGGCAACATAAATGCACAAAAATGATTAAGAGCAAACATTTCTAAATATAAAGTCAAATTGATACAGAGCTTAGAATTTCGAATTGTCTACTAGTATGTGCTACTAACTGAAGTAAAAAAAAAAGTCACACTGCAAAGGATGATCATTTTTATCTCCGATCATCTCCTCTTCGGAATTGATGATGGTACGGAATCTTCTTTAGATAGCAGGCATTGCGCCATATATTTCAAAATGTCATTGTTGGTGTATTTCCTCTTGCCGCTTTAACCACTATACTTCCTTTTTACCAGACAAGCTCAAAAACGGTTCATATCAATGTTATTGTAAAATCGCCCCGACGGAGAAAGCTCCTACAACCAAAAAAGAAGAAGTTGCTTGGAATGAAGCATTGCGTTAGGAAATAGATTATTTAGATGGAGGTTTTTTTCATAACAGGATATACAAAGTTGGTATAAAATTCTATTCAAGTTCATTTAAACCTGAATATCATTAATGTTTCTTGAATCAATCTTTCCTCTGTCCAAAACGCTTAGAAACTTTTAACGTTTTTTTATAAAGAGTTAGAATTACGATCTTGGTAACATGCAGGTTTACTGTACATTTTATCAATTCCCTATGTTTTGCTTCACAATGAGGTACTTAGTTTTGTCAAAATGAGCCAAATCCAGTGTGGAAGAAAAAATCGATTATATCTATGTGAGGTTTTTTTTTTGTGTTACCTAATATAGAACATGATTATAGATTTGAATCAAGGTGAGTGGTTTTCAAAGATTTCTGCGTGGATCTTCTTTCTTACGGATAGGACTTAAATTCGCGAGTCTGATATTGTGATGTCTTTTTTAATGTTCTGACATATATTAAATTTGTTATTTATTATATATTCTGGTTATGAAAATCATTTCTCGTTGTGAAAACGTTTGCCACTTTTTTTCAGTTTGTCATCGTTGGAAGGAATGCTCTAGTATACTACAAAGAGGAAGAATTATTGGAATGTCCGTACGGGTCGTATCAAATACAATTCTCCTCCAACTGCACCGACGAGTGTCCACCTCACGCACCATTCCAAGTGTATAATCTCTGTATGGATATTTGCCCTAGCGGTAGATCCTTTTCTTCCAACTGTTCGAAAGTTACTGAGCAGCCGAAGACAGCAAAACAAGACGAAGCAACACCCATTCGATGCCCAAAAGGATTCTGTCCCCATGACAGGCCATATTGCTTTGATTATCAGTGCTGGTCGGATTGTCCCGATGGAATGATTAGTGACGAGTATACGTGCGTCTACAGTTGTTCAAATAAGTCTGAACTCATTTACAACGGCACATGTCTGTCCGAATGTCCTCAGCACCATCCTTATAATGAGTCTGGTGTTTGCGTTTCCGAGTGTTCTACTTTAAACGTGCTTTACAGTAACTCATGTGTTCGGGCCTGTCCTGTCGAAATGTTTCGATATAACAGAACATGTCAATCATCCTGCCCACGACAAGCACCTTATGATATTGACGTTTTTAATACGAAATTCTGCTTGGAATCATGCCCAGATTTTACTTCCATTGATCGAAATGAATGCAAAGTACAATGTCCAAAGGGAGCTGAGTTCCTTTGGAACAAAACGTGCGTAAAATCATGTCCAGTCTCCTCATCCATCATTCTCGTATCGAAAAGAAGACTTCCACTGGTCAAAATTCCAATTTGTGTATCAGCCTGTCCTGACAGTATGTTTTCCGATGGTATTTCTTGTTTAGACTCATGCGACAAACACATGTATGTATTTAATTCCACTTGTGTCAATAGGTGTCCTACAAATCACAGTCTATTAGATGGCACGTCCAAGCCCTACTCCTGCATTTCACAATGTCGAACATCGCAAGTTCTTGACGGCGATCATTGTGCTGCAGAATGTTCAAGCGGCAAACTCATGTTTAATGGAACGTGTGTCACCCAGTGTCCAGAATCTAATCCGTTGGTAGTAAACCAAACGTGTCTCTCTCGGTGTCCAGATAATCTATTCAATGATTCGGGAGTATGTGTAGATAAATGCTCTATAGGATATTATGCCTACAACCAATCCTGTGTTAGGGCATGTCCGGAAACACACAAATATGTTTATCGTGGGAAATGTAATAATGACTGTTCCATATACAGCTTACTTCACTTCAACGATTCATGTATCTCACGTTGCCCTCCTAATCAGTATATCTTTAATAATACATGCTTGGAAGTTTGTCCACTTTCGCATCCTTTTTCTAAAGGGCATTATTGTGTTACATCATGCAATGACCCTATCTTTTATTGGGCTGAATGCAAATGTTCAGGGAATTTTCTCTCTTATAATTCCACATGTGTTGAGAAATGCCCAACGGAAAGTCCTTTTATTAATAATCAAAAGTGTGTGACTCGATGTCCAAATTCCTTGGTATCCTATAACTACAGTTGTCAAAAGTTCTGTCCGGAAAGTGCCAAGTACATTTATGACGGATTGTGCAACGATACGTGTCCTTCTTCATATCCTTATTATGCAACAAAACAGAGAAAAGTTAATGCTTACTATTATCAGAGAACAACAACTATTGTCTCTGTCAATTATTGTGTTGACACATGCACTGAGGTTAGTAAAAGTCCCGGGAAGTATATATATAATATGACGTGCGTTGATCGTTGCCCAAACACAACTGTTTTATCTGGATTGAATTGCATTAACAAATGTCCTTTTGACAAGCCAAAGACATACAAGAAGGAGGACAATGGAAAGTATATATTAATATGTGTTGACGATTGCCCCGGGACAACTTTCACATGGGACAATTTTTGCTTCGATCAATGTCCCATAACATTGGCGTCTTACTACCCAAACCGTCAATGTTTAGAACTATGTCCAAAGGATCGTCGCTTCCGCTATCGTTTTAAAACGAATGGAAATGAGGTTGCATTCAAATGCGAATCCACATGTGACAAAAACATATTCGAAAATAACACTTGCGCTGATGTTTGTCCTTCAGAATCCCCATTCCTGTCAGGACAAACCTGTGTCTCAGAATGCCCTGCATCACAAACCTTCAGAGATGAAAGTGGTTATCACTGCTTTGCAGCATGCAAACCTCCTCTACTTCAACTGAATCACACGTGTTACAACACCTGTCCTGCAAGTAATCCGTTTGTGTTCAACAATAGGTGTGTCGAAGAATGTCCAGCAACCTTCAACCTAACAGCACCTTCTCCTCAAGGTCGGGCATGCGTACAAGCATGTAAACCACCGTTACTTAGGGAACACAATCGATGTATACTGAGATGTACGGATAAATTCATTATCGAGAATGTGTGTGAAGATGTTTCAGGTTGTCCCTCTGAATACAGATACATTGACCTCTCTTCACGTGGGAAATTCTGCCGAAAAGTATGTCCTGATAGCGAGTTTATTTCCGGGGAATTTACGTGTATAAAAAAGTGCCCTAAATTCGCTGTAGGAAACCAATGTGTTGACAAGTGCCCAGAGACACACCCATTTACATTTAAACATTCCTATAGCAGAGATACCACAAAATGCTATCGAGCCTGCCCAAAGCTTACATTTGACAAAACCTGTGTTGATTATTGCCCCTCTTCGTACATGGTTTTAGAATCTAACAGCACATGTGTGAAAGAATGTCCACTATCGGATCCAATAAAAACGTGGAACAGCTGTCTCAAGACTTGCTCTGGAACTAAAATCCTTTCGTCGCAAAATACGTGTATATACGAATCCGAATGCAGGTTTTCTAAAGGTCACCATGTCTACGAATCAAAATGTGTTGAACTATGCCCTCCTAGAACATATCTCGACAGTTATAATCATTGCGTCCCCTTTCAAATTGGTATTGCTATTGCCGTTATATTGTTGGGCTTAGCCGGCTTTATCTGCTTGGCGGGAGCGTATGCCATTTCCCGAAGGACTAAATGTCTCCTCATTACAAGACCTAAAAATATGGTAAGTATTTCATTACTGCCTCTCCCTGTTTGTTCGTCCGTCCGTCCGTAATTGGTTGTGTTTTTCTTCACAAAAACATTCAGTTGTTTCCTATAAAATGTTTAATATGACATTGTTACAGATGTGTTATATCATTAAAATCTGAATAAAGATTTTCCTGCAAAAAGACTAACTATTTAAGAATAATTTATCTGTAAAGCGAGAAATGTGTTTTGTCTCCATATCTATCAGTAATGATATCAGGGCTGTAGTGAGGATGTAAAACTTCTTATATGAAAGTTGCATGTTTTAGGATGAAGAAGTGGGGAATGCGGATTCAGATGATGTTTCAACAAGACCAACAGTTCACCTTTCATCCAGGGACAGTGATAGCACAACAGTGGTACAGAATAGGGCGATTGTCGACGCGCAAGGTGATACTGACACAGCACCACGTCTCCCACGACAGACTGTCGAGTTCGTTGAACTAGCCTCATGTTTAGGGGAGGACGTGGAGGTGCTTTCACACACACCTGACGATAGTGTTACCTTTGATATAAACAATCAACATAGACTAGAAAGTGTAGTTGAGGGAGACATTTGTAACACTGAAGGCACATTCGTCAAAGAAATCCATGTTAAGGACGTATGAAATTACCACCGTTGTTATTTGAGTACATGATAGAAGTGACACAACATCAGTCTTTTTTCAGTGCCAAAACTGGATCTACAGAGTCAACAAGAACAGCACTGCTGTTATTTTTCTTTACCTGAAAATTGTTGTACATGGACTACGAAAACAGTGGTGTCTGAAATATGTAACGAGCCTCGGTTTAGCATTCAAGACAAAAGACACAGGAAAACCAGAATAATTACATGTATAAAAATTTATTTACATGAAATACAACTAAATACAGACAAGTTCACACTCTCACACTCTTTGTCATTCTATCACTTATCAACACTAGTATTAGTATACCTTACAGTCTCTTCACAGATAGAGGGGTAGTAGTTGTAATACATCACGGTACATCACTAGATATTTACATTTTGACTTCGCTCCGCCTCAATGAAACTAGTAATGTCATTTCGTTGCATTTCCCAATGAAAGAAGTGGGTCTCGTGCTTTTTTTCTGAGCGGCGAATCACTTTCTGTCGGCGTAGGAATACATTGTTTACTCAAATCACATCTCGTAATATATTTAACACTGCGAGGTAAAAATAATATTTCTGAATATGTTAGCTATTTTGATTATAAAAAACATTATTAATATTTGTTATGAATGACCATTTCATGTTGGATATGTATATATTTAAGTGTATAAACATGAAACAAATAAAAACTTCCAATAACTATTTGTTTCGTTGTCTTGACGACGAGAGCAGCTTGATGACTGCTGTTCCAAATGTATACACACATGTACGATAAGTACAACAGTGTAGCAAACTATCACTGTCATGTAGTGCAGTGTCTGTAGAAGGCATAATGTTTCAGCGGGAATTTTAAAATAGTAAATATAAATATAAGGATTGATTGTCTATTTTGTTGCTTGCATGGACTGATGCTTCGCAGTTCACTCCATTTGCACGAGGTTCACTTCCCTTCACCAGTCCATGCAAGCAACAAAATAGACAATCAATCCTTAATTGACCGTGAATAATGTCTCTCCATTAGCACAGTCCGTGCTAGCAGTATAAATGGTAAGAAAGTGTAAACACCTCTGATGATGAGGCTAACAATCTCGGTCCAAAAAAGCTGGCCTTCAATCCAGAAACTTGGTACCATAATGGGTTCCCCCAAGTAGCCTGCCTGAGAGCGTCACAATGCTCACCTTGACACCGATGACGTCTAGTCGGTCCTTACGCCACTTGATGAAGGTCTGTAAGTCACCTTTTTGCTGGCTCTAGGTCGTGCTCATCCCAGCTGCCCATCATGTGAATCTATAGGAGTGAAATAATAAACCTCTTAAGACTTATAAAAATTATTTCACTTAAGTGAAATAGTTTTACACTTAAGTGAAATAAATCATAATGCGAAAAGATGTTTAATTACCTTAAGACAAAAATAATTTCACTTAAGTGAAATAAATTTATTCCACACTTCATCTTAAGAGGAAATAGGATTAAATGTTAAAATGGCTTGCCATATGCAGCTCAGGGCTTCTATACATACTTTGCATGAACAAAACTACGTTACTAAGTAAAATAAACATATCAACTGTCACTAAATTACATATATATATATCAATAATTCAGTTAAGTAACGCTTATATAATAAACATAAGTATCCATTTACTATTGATAATGATATTTCAACTAATACACCTGTTTACGATAACAACAAATAGTTATGCTCGAGTGGACACGCATCGATAAATAGATTGCTTGACCAGTTATAGGGTAAAGCTAAATATGGGAGAAAACATCCAACTAAAGTAACAAATTACGAATGAAAGAAAAAAAATACCCAGGTCAATGTACAGGGCTCTATTCCATATCATATACGGCCCAAAAATTGACCCGAACACGGGTAAACCAGTATCACAAACAATGGCCGCCGTTCTCAACTTCCCGGCTGCACACCACTTGTACTCACTCATGCGTTCACAAATATACTCACAAGACCCATTCCGAAAACAAAAATATGAAACCAAACACTTGCGTTCGTTACAATATCCTTGCTGTTTAGTGTTCCTCAATTAATCTGGTCAAATAATGCTATATAAAAAAAACTAATTACCTGTTTGAATACGACATAACACTCATGGCTATAGGATTGATTTTTTTTATTATTTCATAATAAAGTATGTAGCTTGCTTGGTGTTTTTCTTTAGCCGAGAGTAAAAGATATCAAATCTTAATGATTCTTGTAGTTTAATAATGTGTGTTATTTGTACAGGTAACTTTCAGCGTTTTATAGGTTCGTTTATCAATAGACCACAATCCCGTTAGCACACAAGCAAACGATAACAATATGTCGATTTTTACTTTCACTTTTAAGAAGTTACGTTTCCAGTTAAAACCTTCCAGTATTGAATTATATTTAAAAACATTTGTACATTTAAATCTTTGAAATCTAAAGGACAGGTTACTTTTCAGAAAAAGATATTCGTATTTCTAGTCAGGCGATAGAGATACTCTATAGCTGTAATGGTATTTAATATACCTAAAGTATCCCGTCTCAAAGTGTACTAGAGTATAGGGATACGGGTTTATATATCGGTGTACTGGTGTATAGGGGTATGTATGGGAGTACTGGTGTATGGGGGTATGTATGGGGATACTGGTGTATGGGGTTATGTATGAGGGTATGTATGAAGGTACTGGTGTATGGGGGTATGTATGGGGGTACTGGTGTATGGGGGTATGTATGGGGATACTGGTGTATGGGGGTATGTATGGGGATACTCGTGTATGAGAGTTTGTATGAAGGTACTGGTGTATGGGGGTATGTATGGGGATACTGGTGTATGGGGGTATGTATGGGAGTACTGGTGTATGGGGTTATGTATGGGGATACTGGTGTATGGGGGTATGTATGAGGGTATGTATGAAGGTACTGGTGTATGGGGGTATGTATGGGGGTACTGGTGTATGGGGGTATGTATGGGGATACTGGTGTATGGGGGTATGTATGAGGGTATGTATGAAGGTACTGGTGTATGGGGGTATGTATGGGGGTACTGGTGTATGGGGGTATGTATGGGGGTACTGGTGTATGGGGGTATGTATGGGGGTACTGGTGTATGGGGGTATGTATGGGGGTACTGGTGTATGGGCTATGTATGGGGGTACTGGTGTATGGGGTATGTATGTATGGGGGTACTGTGGTACTGTGTATGGGGGTATGTATGGGGGTATATATGGGGGTACTGGTGTAGGGGGTATGTATATGGGTATATATAGTGATACTGTTGTATGGGGGTATGTATAGGGGTACTGGTGTATGGGGGTATGTATGGGGGTACTGGTGTATGGGGGTATGTATGGTGGTACTGGTGTATGGGGGTATGTATGGGGGTACTGGTGTATGGGGGTATGTATAGGGGGTACTGGTGTATGGGGGTATGTATGGGGGTACTGGTGTAAGGGGGTACTGGTGCATGGGGGTATGTATGGTGATACTGGTGTATGGGGGTATGTATGGGGGTACTGGTGTATGGGGGTATGTATGGGGGTACTGGTGTATGGGGGTATGTATGGGGGTACTGGTGTAAGGGGGTACTGGTGCATGGGGGTATGTATGGTGATACTGGTGTATGGGGGTATGTATGGGGGTTCTTGTGTATGGGGGTATGTATGGGGGTACTGATGTAAGGGGGTACTGGTGCATGGGGGTATGTATGGGGATACTGGTGTATGGGGGTATGTATGGGAGTACTGGTGTATGGGGGTATGTATGGGGGTACTGGTGTATGGGGGTATGTATGGGGGTACTGGTGTATGGGGGTATGTATAGGGGTACTGGTGTATGGGGGTATGTATGGGTGTACTGGTGTATGGGGTATGTATGGGGGTACTGGTGTATGGGGGTATGTATGGGGGTACTGGTGTATGGGGGTATGTATGGGGGTACTGGTGTATGGGGTATGTATGGGGGTACTGGTGTATGGGGTATGTATGGGGGTACCGGTGTATGGGGGTATGTATGGTATATGGATGTATGGGGGTATGTATGGGGTATGTATGTGGGGGGTATGTATGGGGGTACTGGTGTATGGGGGTATGTATGGGGTACTGGGGGTATGTATATGGGGGTATGGGGGTACTGGTGTATGGGGTTATGGGGGGGGAGGGTACTGGTGTATGGGGTATGTATGGGGGTACTGGTGTATGGGGTATGTATGTGTACTGGGTGTACTATGTATGGGGTATGTATGGGGGTACTGGTGTATGGGGTATGTATGGGGGTACTGGTGTATGGGGGTATGTATGGGTGTATGGGGGTATGTATGGGGGGTATGTATGGGTGTACTGGTGTATGGGGTATGTATGGGGGTACTGGTGTATGGGGGTATGTATGGGTGTACTGGTGTATGGGGTATGTATGGGGGTACTGGTGTATGGGGGTATGTATGGGGGTATATATACTGGTGTATGGGGGTATGTATGGGGGTTCTTGTGTATGGGGGTATGTATGGGGGTACTGATGTATGGGGTATGTATGGGGGTACTGATGTAGGGGGTATGTATATGGGTATATATAGTGGTACTGTTGTATGGGGGTATGTATGGTGGTACTGGTGCATGGGGGTATGTATGGGGATACTCGTGTATGAGAGTTTGTATGGGGTTACTGGTGTATGGGGGTATGTATGAGGGTACTGGTGTATGGGGGTATGTATGGGGGTACTGGTGTATGGGGGTATGTATGCGGGTACTGGTGTATGGGGTGTGTATTCCGGTACTGGTGTATGAGAGTATGTATGGGGTTACTGGTGTATGGGGGTAGGTATGAGGGTACTGGTGTGTGGGGATATATATGGGGGTACTGGTGTATGAGAGTATGTATGGGGTTACTGGTGTATGGGGGTATGTATGAGGGTACTGGTGTATGGGGGTTCTGGTGTATGGGGTATGTATGAGGTACTGGTGTGTAGGGGTATATATGGGGGTATGTATGAGGTACTGGTGTGTGGGGGTATATATGGG